ACTTCCAAATCATATCTCCATACTGGATTTCATATCCAGCTACCTACTGAATATCACTTCACCTGAATATGTCTAAAATTGAATTTATTTCTCTTCTTTCAATCTCCACTGTCTCACCAAATCTAAAAGTGCTACTTTTCCTATTATGTTCTATCCTGGTTATTATTGTCCAAATTAAATGTTGGGAGTTACTCAGATTCCTACAATTGCCTGCTATTCTCTCCTGATTTGAGACTTACCTAGATTCCTACAATTCTCTTTCTAGTCCCTATTCATTAACTCCTCTCTCCTAATTATCTCTCAACCCCCATCATTTTTACTCCTCTTTAGTGCAATTATCTTCCTTTGCATTTATTAGAAATCTAAATAAATTGGGTATAGCCCTCCACATTGCCTAAGAACATCTTTCAGAAAATAAATCCATTTATAGTCCTCTTTTTTTCCTCTCCAAAATCAGAGAATTAAGTCCAACACATTTGAAGTATTTCTTGTTCTAATTTCACCAATTTGTCCAGCCTTATCTCTCAATAATCTCTCCTCCCATATTTTACTCTAATCACATGTCTTCATATGTGTCAGATTATTTCATACTGCCACATCAGAGCTGTTCCATACTAGAGAATTTATTCCTCCCCCTCTCTCCCATTACCATTCCCACACCCAGGCTCACCCAATCACATCCTTAGTTCAAGGGTCATATCCTCTACAGTTTGCCCAGAGTCAGTGAGACTGACTTGATCATTTTCTCAATGTGTTCATAATTGATCCTGAATAAATTCTGCAAAGTCTTGCCTTTAAAAATGAGACAATGATGACTAAAATGGTATTTGAGATGTATCTTGATTATAATGTATATAGTGATGTTACATGCTCTAGAGGACAGTGCTTTTATGACACCTGACACTGAATTATCAGCCTCTTCTCTGCCCTAGTATAGTACAATGGACTATACTGCATTACAGCTATCTGTGTTCTTGTCCCATTCTCTCATTTGTCTAAGAACTCTTTGATGATGGGGTTCCAGTTCTGTTCCTCTTTGCATTTCCATCATCTGGCATCTAGCACAGTGCTTTGTACACTGTAGGTAGTCAATATACATATTTGAAAAGTGAACATTGTTATTGAATGGATTCGCTGAGCCTCAGAATACAACAGTTGTTTCAGTTCTGCCTTTACTCTGAATCTCGTAGATGTCTGAACCTCAATGCGGCAAACATTGTATTTAATCTGGAATGAATGCCACAAGGTTAGTTCATGCACTGAGGAAGGGATGATGTTATAAGCCAGAATTGGAACATTATTTCAAATTTGCCTGCCTTCTCTCTGGCTTGCCAGTAATGGTTTAGCATCTAAACATTCAGTAAAGTATTAGCCATCAATAATCACATAAGGTTGGCCATCCATATGTAACTTTTTGAAAGGAAGTGAGCACTCTTGGGGAATATGCTATAACAACAATAGTTACCAGTCATTGAATGCTTACTCTGAATTAGAATGAATGATAAATGCTTTGCCTGCATTATCCCATTTAATTTTTATCCTGGTGGGAACTATCATTGTCCTCATTTTATAAATGAATTAATTGAGGCTTTGGCATTTTGGTAACTTACTCAAAGTCACACATAACTGATGTGATAAAACTGTTCCAAAACAAGACTTTTTTGATTTCCTTTATGTGAAACATATACACTAAAATACTTACAGAACAAAAAGTGCACATTATATTTTGGATGATCTTAGTTATGTCAAAGCTCTAAGTGATAGTTTATTACCTTTTGTATCTGGAAAATGTAGGTTATTACAAACTAGGAGTAGATTATAATAGCCTCAGGATTTTTCCTACATAGTAATGAATGGAGAGCTGGTTGCCAGTAGTTTAAGCTCTGTTGCAATGCTGTTATCAACCAGTTTGGGTGTTTGCTACATATGAGTACTATGTTAGGTAACTCACAATTTTTATTACCCTGTCTTCAAGCATATTAACTATTCAGAAATACAAATCACAAATGCATAGAGATCTTATTATTCATGGCATGTTCCTAATATCATGTATGGGGACAGACTCTGGTGTCTACTTCTCCTGGATAAGAAGAAGATGGGCGAGTTAGCTTTACACAATCCCTTAGATATAGGAAAGGCTGACCTTCAGTAACAAATTAAAAATATGTACATTTAATAGGTCACAGGCAAATATTAGGTGAGCTTGAACTGGTTTCTAGTTTTGGATCAGTTTAGAAGTGGAAGACCCTCCCACTCACATACCTTATACAGATACGAAGGGAGATCTTATCGAGGGACCCATTGCTTTCTCTCCAGTTAGCACTGCACACATTTTAGGAAAGCTGCCTTTCCCCATATATGGTTTGCACGCTCACAGTGTCTGTGTTGGTTAACTGTACCATTCCAAAGAGATTTAAAATACCATAAAAACGTGTGTAAATGTCTGAGTCTCATTTTTGTATATGTTTCATACATTGACATATTCACCTTTTATGCATTTACATTAGATATCTAATATATGTTGTTTATACCTAAATAATTATTCTCAAAAAGAGCTATTGCACATTAAAGAGTAGGACTCTAAATTATTAAGGAAAAGTTGATAAAAACTACAAGAAGAACAAACATGCTACAAGTAGAGGTTTATCTTTCAGAGTATGTGGCAGATGACATAATTTATGTCTTGTTCCACCAGTGGTTTTATGTTCGTAGTGACAGTGAAATGTAGAAGCAAAAAGCTTGGGCTCTGAAGCCAGACTGACAGAATTCAAGTTTTTGCTTTGGCTTCGTTACTTATTAACTTAGTAAGCATTTGACTTTGGCAAAGCTTTCAATCTCTATCTTAATTTCTTCATTTATAAGAAGGGAATTATAAAATTAGTCTTTTTAGATTATATGAGAAATAAGTGAACAAATTCATATGAAGAGAGTAGAGTAGGATCTGGTCCATAGTAAGCTAACAATAAGTGTTGTGACATTATTTTGTATATACATTCTACAGCTAAAACTCTTTCATTTATTTACCCATTATCCTTTCAACCACTTCATCGATGTTGATTTCATTTATTCATTAAAGATTTGCTGATTGCCTATTAAATATTAGGCACTGTATTAGGGATACAAAAGACAAAATAATCAGATATGATCCTGTGTTCTCAACAAACATAATTTGGTAAAGAGATGAAAAAATATAAAAATAGTTGTACACAGGAAAGCTTAGTGCAATTCAGATAAGGTCATATGAAAGTTTGTATATACCAATATTTCTTCAAACTTTCAGGGTTATGTTCATAACTACAGATAATATTTACATAATGTGTCTTTATTAACAAGTAAATCAAATTGCACTAGTATTTCATAGCATCTCTACAAACAGGAAGCCAGTGGCAAAGAAAGAAAGAAAGAAATCACTGAAGTCCATTCTAAAGATACCACATTTAGAAGACTTTGAGCAACTCTTCACTTCCAGATATTTGTGTTAAGGTTGCCAGAGTAAAACGAACACTTAAATAAGTGACATTTGTTCTGAACTTGTTGCCTTTATTAATGCTGCAGTTTTGAATATCAGAATGTGACTTAGAAATTCAAATAGCAAAAACTTAATATGCTATTAAAGTTTTAAATTTTTCTTTGCTTTTTTAATCCAGATATTCTTTCAGATTCTTAAATATTTAAACCATGTAAAATATTAATAACATACCAAAGAAGTATCAATATTTACATTAAGTTGAAATTCACACTATTCTATAACATTTTCAGTGGTTTATATTATTCATAATTACACTAAATAAATAATTCTCATGGAAGGAACTCAAGCAAGTATATATGCTATTACATGGCAAGCAATGTTTTTTTTTTCTTTTTTTCAGAGTGGAGATAGTAAGAAATATTAAGTAATATTAAGCTGGAAAAACAAATGAAGTGATGTTTGAAAAGTATAGAACAAACCATTTTCAAATGAGTATTTTTATTAACAACAAACTGGTGTATTTTATTTAACATCAGAGGTTCCTAAATCACGGTAATTCAAAGTTTACAAATCATAAAACTGATTATAGTATATTTTAAGTAGGGCTACTATATATCTCATCCTCATTTCTTTGAAATGGAAATGATCATGCCTATAATTAACTATACAATATTTGCATTTTCAGAGACAGTTTATGATCACAGGATGATAGCATAAATATCTACATCAGGTTTCAGTAAAAATATAAGAGATAAGAATGATTCAGCTGACTGTGGAACTGAAAAGACAATGTATTCTCTGTCATCTTCTGTGAACATTTTCAGAAACACTCCATTTCCAAATCAGGAATATTTAATGGTTATAACAATGTGTTGGTGATTTGGCCTTTAAAAAACACTAAAATGAATTACAGGAGGAAACGTTATAATAGGTTGCTCTCCCCTCAACATCCTTGTATTGGCTCTTGTTTTCATTTCTAGCCCTTAGAAATTAAGATACATTATAAATATAGTATTTATTTAAATAAAACCTTAAGTCATATTCTAAAATACAGTTTTGAGTAAAAATGTTCCCAATATGGATAAAATATTTTATACATGATCATTTACTTACTATTTTATTTTATGTATAGCATATAAAATTCTTGTTATTTCAAGATGAGTGTCTAAAGAAAGCCAACCAAGAGTAAATTCAACCCAAATTAATCCATGTTTCAAGACAATGTAACATTAAAAAAAATCCACAAACAAAACCTCACCAAACCATCTTTCTTAGTCAGAAGACATTTTTCATTGTGTCTATTATATGCAATTTTTTTCCCTGTTCTCAGCTCTAAGACATTTTTCTAGATTTATATAGGGATTCCAAAATTCTCAAACACTCGTATTCTTTTGGGGCTAAGTTCTTCTGTGTTAGGAACATGTCACATCAGGCTGAGTCCTAAAAGGAACATGTTCTATTATGTTTTACCTCTACTGATAGGTAGGAGCCAAGAGACCCATGGAGGCATGTTGGCAACAGTGTTACTTACGGTTGAGAGGCAGGCTCGCATTGGTCGTGCCCAGCTTGTTGGCAGCCACACAAGTATAGTTGCCGAAGTGCTCCTGTGTCACATTGGTGACAGTGAGAATGGATCTTGTGCTAAAATTTTGAATAGTAATTCCTTGTTGGCCATTGAAGAGCCTAGAAAACAAGATAAACTAGATAAATACGTATTATAAAGAACATTTTCATTGTTATCTTAGATGGGTTTGTAATGGTAACCCATACAGTGTTAGTATATAGCATGAGAATGTTACACTTATATTTTCCTTTTATTAGTAGATATTGGGCAGGAGGGGCTGTATGGCAACTATAGACTGTTCTTATGAGAATATTTGGACTACTTGACAAACTGAGTTTAGATATACATGGCCTATTTATACATTGTTTTGTATTTTAGAAAATTAAACACACCACAACAATGGCATCTTATCTGTTAAAGTCAAGAAAGAGTAAAAGAAATGAAATATAAAGAGTCCATTAAGCCCAGCCGATGTGGCTCAGTGGTTGAGCATTGACCCATGCACCAAGAGGTCGCTGGTTTGATTCCTGGTCAGGGCACATGCCCAGGTTGTGGGCCTGATCCCCAGTAGGAGGCATGCAGGAGGCAACCAATCAATGTTCTCTCTCATCGATGTTTCTATTTCTCTCTCCCTCTCCCTTCCTCTCTCTCTAAAATCAATAAAGAAAAATATTTTTAAAAGGAGTCCATTAAAAGCACACACTGATGAGTTCTAGGTAAACTGGCTGGGATATGTCTAGGCCATTTCAGATGATATTATAGATAACTCCTACTAAAGTTAACCTTGCAGCTGAGCTAAGAAGGTTCCGAGTCCAGGGTCAAGGCCTCTTTACTGCTGCCATGAACAGCCCAGAGAGAAGTATAGTATGGAGAGTAGTATTGAAGGTTGAGACTCATTTCTGCCACATTTTAGTAATGTGCCTGGGAAAGTTTTTTTTTTTTTTAACTTGTCTGGGCCTTAATATAGGATTCAATTTTAGCAGATTCCACCCAGACTTCCCAATAACCTCTCTCCAGACTACCCGTAGCGGCCTCCACTCCTGTACCGGCTGGTACCGCCCACACCTGCTTCACTCTCTTCCCGAATCTACACTCACGAGTCATCTTCTTTGATCTCTGCCTAGAGCCTTCCCCCCTCATTTAGGTCTGACCTAGTCCCATCTCTCTTTCTCTGATGCTCCTTAAACGACTATCCTCTCTTTCCCTCTGCCTGTTTCTGTCCAATGTCTTGTGGGATTTATAAAGCCAAAACCACATTCTTGAATGTTTTTTTCTCTAGCAATTTCTATGCACACAACTCTTTTCAACCCAGATAAATTCAATTGCTTTAAATTTCTCACAAAGCACAGCCAAATGGACATACTTTATATTTGAATCCTACATCACACTTATTAGTCATGTCCTAACTACATAATAAATAGTTCATAGGTCGGTGGAGTCTGGGTGATGTTCCCACAACACAGGGGCTGGTAAGCCCCTTTTAGTGGCCCCTTCAAGAAATTCTCTCTCATTATGAATTCTGCTGCAATGAAGATGCCAACCAGATAACTCCTCCTTAACAAAAACCTCTGTTTATTGTGAAAAAGATGTGCTGATCACATGGGCTATGGAGGCTCATTAACCCAGAAGGCATGTTAGTGTTGCCTCTGTAATGTGTTCAAGTTTCAGTACCAAATATTTCTTTAATTTCAAAGATGCTAATAAATGGCATTCTCCTGAGAGTTTAGGTTGGAATCCTGGCACTGTTCTGTGACCTGCATCTCAATCTAGATAAAGGACACTGCAGTGAAATGCAGATCCAAAGAAGCAGCCGTGCTTAATTGCTCTGGGAATTACTTGCATTTCATGTACTAGCTGAATTTGGCTTATCTAAAACTCACACTTTAATCAGATTAATAAAACATTGAGTTGAAAAAATATTGAAAACTTTAACTTGAGCAATAAACCTAATGATCTCAAACTCCAACGCAAGAAATTAGGGAATGAAATATTAAGACGGTGGCCACTGTTACTCCTGTCTCTTATTGCAAATCTATCTGAACGTATGCTAAATTCCCTCAGTGATAGTGCATATTTTCCTGCATCACATTCATAACTTTCTAACCAACTATTTTATGTTGCCTAATTTTTAAAAATCACGATTTCATTGTCCTAAGAGCAAAAGCATTACGGCTCAAATCAATTTGTTCATATCTATGTTATGAACGCATTCTCCAGAGGACTCTGCAACTCCCTAGACTACTAAATCCCCACTGTGCCCCGGTTACCAAACCAAGATTCGTTTTGCTGCCGGAGAATTGAGAAAAAAGTCAGTGTCTTCACTTGAGTAGATTCTGAAGAGAAAATCTCAAGGGAGTATACTCAGTTACTTCCTGGCACTGTGCACTCATATCCCTTATAGCTGTCTTTCTGCACTGGCTTCCAATTCTCTGCCCTTTGCTGTATCTGACAGCAAAGCCACAGATGTTGCTAAATCATGCATCGCATCCATGTTCTGCAGGTCCAGGCCCATTTTTGGCTTCTGGCCAGCAGTGCACATTAGTGCTCCAACCCCTGCTGCTCAAATCAATCTGGCAGGTGATTACGGTCAATAAAAAAAGCGAAGTATTTTCCCTGGGGTTCTCTTCCCTCTAGGAGAAACCAGCTCTCTGAGACTACCGGAGAATCCAAAGCTTCCTTCTGCAGTTGGAAATTTCAGAAACTGCAGAAGCTAAGGCCCCGAACAGCACTTCAGAACCTATCTTTGCTCGGTGCGTGGCTGAGAAAGCCTTCGCAAAGCTGGTCGTGAGGGGGAGTGATGTCTGAGATGGACTAGATCTCTTAAGAGTGTGTTTCTGTGATTTTCCTGCAGGTATCCTGGGGGAACAAAGGATTTTCTCAACGATATCAATTCTGAAAATAGTCATTAGATTGCCACAAAGATGAGTTCTGTGCTGTGATTAGGGACTAGGCTGAGCAACACGGGATCTTTGAAGATTTTTGAAGGCCCTTGAGAAGATCAAAGCTGAAGATAAGAATCAGGTAGATAAACACGTGTTTACAACAGAGGTTATTTTAACCACAACGGAGACCCTCTTAAGATGAACACAACTACTGTTGGTTACTGGATATAAAAATTTGAGCCACACCAAGAAGTCCTGTCAGGATGCCCCTAATATAATTTTACTCCTTGACTAAAAACAAATAATGGAAAGAGCTCTTTAATTGATGGTACTTTTTTCCTTTATGAAATAGTTTTATTCTTATATGATCAGATATAATTATAATTATATTTTCTATAATCATTCTTTTTTTTAACCAATAAAAACATATATTTGTCAAGTTGAATTGTTATTCTGTGTTAAAGAAAATCCTTGCTTAGTTTCAAGGATGTACATATGAGCCTGTTCACAGATGATCCTGGTCCCATAGAATTTTTATATCCATTTCAGTCTTGTTTGAAACCAGACTTCCTTGTATGATGTGAAATCTAAAGTGACAACTCAAGCAATAGTTTATAATATACCTTTCAATGAAATCAGAGAACTAAGTTCAGAATATTGCCTTATTTGGAGTTCTGGGTCTCTTTTCCCTAAACAGGTCATTCTTTCAAATTCTAAAGGAGCCATTTTTGTATTGACTTCAATTATAGGATGAGACATTGTTTCTTACAGTCCCTTTCACCCCCCACAAAGAGAGAAACTGATGTTCTTTTTTTTTTTTTTTATCCTCACCCGAGGACATTTTTCCATTTTTTGTTCAGATAGAGTGGGAGGGAGAGAGAGGAAGAGAGAGAGAGGGAAACATCAATGTGAAAGGGACACACTGAGTGGCTGCCACCCGCATGACCAACCAGGGCCAGGGACAAACTGCAACCGAGGTACGTGCCCTTAGCGGGAACCGAACCCGGGTCTCTTCAACCGCTGCGCCAAACCGGCCAGGGCAAAACTGATGTTCTTGAGCAAGGGGTTAAGTATGGCATTCCTGCCCTGCCCGATCTTGCTCAGTGGTTAGAGCATCGGCCTGTGGTCCAGAGAGACCTGGGTTCGGTTTCCGCTAAGGTCATGTACCTCGGTTGCAGTTTGTCCCCGGCCTGGTTGGGTTGTGTGGGTGGCAGCCACTTGATGTGACCCTTTCATGTCGATGTCTCTCTCTCTCTCTCTCTCTCTCTCTTTTTCTCTCTTCCTCTCTCTCCCTCCCACTCTATATGAACAAAAAATGAGAAAATGTCTTCGGATGAGGATAAAAAAAAATAAGTATGGCATTCCTTTCCTCTACAATACACCAGCAGCTTATGGTGCTTGCTTAAAATGTGTGGGCATTTTTATTTTTTTACCATTCAGTGCACCTCATGGCTATAAGATTCTTCTATAACTGTGGTCTCCTACCTTCTACCACCAATAGAAACTTGTTCCATATCATTATAATCTGTATGTTTGTGTTCTCCAAAATTCATAGGTTGAAATTCTAACCCTTAAAGATATTAGTAGATGGGGGTCTTTGAGAGGTGCTGAAAAGTCATGAAGGTGGGGCCCTCATGAATAGGATTAGTGCCTTATAGAAGAGGCTCCAGCGAGATTCTTAGCCCCTTCTTCAATGTAAGAATACAACAAGAAGCTTGCAACCCAGAAGAGGACCCTCACCAGACATGCTGACACCTTGATCTCAGACTTCCAGCCTCCAGAACTGTGAAATTATTTTCTGATGTTTCAAATCCACCCAGTCTGTGGTATTTTGTTACAGCAGCCCAAATGGACGAAGGCACATACTAAGGACCATTGCCCTTCTTTTTCTCCTCCTTCTCCTCCTCCTCCTCCTCCTCCTCCTCCTCCTCCTCCTCCTCCTCCTTCTCCTACTTTGTGCTAATGTCTCAAATCTGTGAACTGCAGGCTATTTGCTTTGCCAAGAGATGCTGCCAACTCAGAAGCGACACAGCCTGACCTACCAACTAGTTCTGAATTAGAACAGCCTCTTATATTTTCAAGCTTCATGGATAGATGGCAATGACTAGTAATGTTTATATTTCTGACTCATGAAGTCTTCACAAACTTTGCGATCATAACCTCTCTGTCTGCAGCTATTTAGAATGGCCAGGTGAGCACACAGCTACACCACAAAAGCAAAACTGACCACATAGCCA